ACCTTCAGATCCAACCTTGAGCCATCAGTGCAGATGGCTGCTGAGTTGGAGTAAGAGATCGGGACTAAATTCTCCTACCATCCACCCCTTGAAGGTGTCTTTGTTTGGAAATGATTCCTCAGTCCAGTAGGCGGGACTGTGTAATCCATGCGCTTGAAGACTTCTGCAAGATCTTCTAGAATTCTAGAGTGTGTGCGTTTAGTCTAAAAGCATTTCAGCTTGCTTGTAGTTTACCATATAGGTCCACAGGTAGAAAGTGAAGTAAGGAATCTAGGATTTTAGTTGGCGTTGAGGGTAACGCCCTCATGATCATCATTTCTGCACTTGGTGTTCTATTGTGCTCGTGCCCGCCCATGGCTGCAGAGTCGAAGGACTGGTAGAGCCTCGTGATCCATGCGCCCGATATGTGTAAGCCAGCGTAATTGTTGCATTGTTATGCAGTTCTCGATAAAAAGCTCGCATAGTTGGTCATTCCAACTTCTTCAGTACCTTTCAGAATAGTTCCCACGTAAGCCCCTAAAGCTTCATCATCTTTCTGCGCCATATAAAAGGACGGGCATGATGAGAGATTTGTACAGCGTAATTTTTGTTCGTCGAGAAAGGGCTCGTGTGCCTGGGAAATGCTGCGCTGATCTCAAGCTGAAGTTGTTATAATATCAACTAATGGGTTGTAAGACTTCATACCCAAACATTTTCTTAAAATTCAGATTAAAAAGTTCCAAATTTTGATGAAAATTTGATGCATTTTTCTAAACTTTGTATAAATTTTGAAACCTTAATTTATGTATATAATTTTTTTTATAAAAAAAATAACAAAAAAAAAAATATTACCTTATATGAATACCCCTATTGTAAATATTAAAAAGTCATATGCTTTCCAACCGACTATGAATAATATAACTAGTAGTTTCAGCGATGATGCTCAGCTCGGAACGAGTATAGCTGCACCCTTCTTCTATGACGACGCTCTCCCCAGCAATCTACGATCACCCTACTAAATGATTTGTAGAGAAATGTGTGATTATATTTCCTGCTATTCTCGCCGCTGCGTTGTTATCGATTCTATGTTGCGGTACCGCGGCAAAACCATTTACCCCAATAAGCTCCCCTAAAAATCCACTGCTTAACCCAGTCGAGTCTCCTTCAATTTTGATTGTATTTGCTTTCCTGAACTGAGATGGACTAGACATGGTTTTATAATTCCGCATAACTAGTAAACTAACCGTTGGGTAGGTTTCATAGTACAAAATTATAACATTGGAATGACAGTCCTCTTATAAAAAAACGAAAAAAAAACAATACCCATCCAGCGTAAGCAAGCCCACAACAACATTCAGCTGGTTGCAAGTAATGACAAAGCGATGCAATGGCGTTCGTGCTTTTTGTGGGCGAGTAACTGCACTGTTGTTGTTTTTATGAGTTTCCCTGGTTTTTTTTTTAGTATTTTTGCCTTTTATTGTGTGTTAGTGATATGTAAGTCTGTCTATGATTACTTTGTTGCTATTTCAGCTACATATGTATCAACGATCATTTTTCATTTTTCTACACCCTCCGTTTTTGGGGTTAAATAATTCCAGCCAGGCAATGGCAAAGCATATTGCGCACTCAATATGCGGCAAACAATTTTGAAGCAAAAGCTCTGAGTGGCTGACCTTTTTTCAATATTTTCCATTTGCCGTTGATCAATGCGTTCGCTGCGATCTTGCCGATCTATATACATACATATGTATGTATGTATGTATGTAGGCTTTCACAGATGTTGCCATCGTTGCCCCATTGATGATTGCAGCTGAAGATTGTCGCTGTTGCTTTGGCATTCTGTTGACAGCCAGAACCCCAATAATTATGACATTTTTTACTGCAGCCATAAGTTGCTTGCTACTTTTGATGTCTAAAGGAATGCGCCCATGTGGTCATTGCGTAAATCGTTTTACATACACACACACATACAGTGTGATCCATATGTGCTTGTTTGTTCGCCACTTTTGATATTGTAAATGCGAAATTGATCTTATCGCTGATCATCTTTATGAATTAAGCCAAGAACTTGATTAGGCACAGATTTGAAATTGACCGCGTGGAGATAAAGAACATTTTTTTTTTTAACCTTTTTGTCAGCTGTGTCTTTCTTTCTCGAGCTTACGAGGGTTGTGGCCGCCAATTATTGTAATATTTTCATGAGTGGTTTTGTTTCAAGAGGATAAACTGTTTTTGGAAAACATGCATTTGACTGGCAAGAAGTGTGAGCCTTTTTGAGGCTAGATTTAGCATTTCGTGTTTTTTCTGGCCTTTTTAACCGACTTCCAAAAAAGGAGGAGGTTATCAGTTCGTCGGAATATTTTTTTTTTTTTTTTTTTTATGTATGTTACCGCATAACTTTGGACCACGTCAACCGATTTCGATAATTCTTTTTGCATCGGAAAGGTAGTGTCTCAGAGGTGGTCCCATACTAATCTGGTTAAGATCCGATCAGCGGATCATGAGATATATATATATATATATATATTTTTTATATGGGAGTTGAAGTCGGTTTTTTTTTCCTAAAAATTACTAGTTTACTTAAAATATTCAAAGGTAAATTCGTCTTACTAAAAATCCTTACTATTTCAAAAACTATTGTTTATAGTTCAAATATTACAATGACAGCGCAAAGTATAATTTCTTTGCAAAAATACCATGGTGAAATTATACCAGGTGTAGTAATAAAACCGCTTGCTCGCTTTATATTCTAAGTTTTCTTGACAATCGGCTATCTTATAGAAATTTTTTTAAGCAAATTTTCAAATAAGATAGTGTAAAATTTTACTTCTCGCTCTTATTACTACACCTGGTATAATTTCACTATGAAAAAATACTTTCTTAGCTTTTTGCTTAGGCTTTTAATAAAATAATCTAAGAAATTAGCTTTAAACCAAGGCGAATTCATACAAGGTTTTGTTAGCGGAGCGGTTGATTTCAAGGCGAATTGTGGCGATTGCAAATTGATGTGTTTTTTGTAAATCTTTTGTGTTCCGATTATCATCGTGTGTATAATTTGTTAGTCTTGTTTTTTGTTTTCGTGCTGCCGCAATCACCTTATATGAATACGCCTTGCTTTAAACGGTATATTTTACAACTTGATATGTTGGCGTACTACTAGCTTTTCTGTAATCGGTAAAAAGGATACACAGAACAGAGGAGTCGGCTCGGGTCTATATTCCAAAGACCTTCAGAGAAAACAATCATATCGCCTGCCTGATAACTACCGTGACTTTTAGGCGGAGATCTTTGCCAAAGAGTGGGCGTCGCACAGTGGTCTAAGAGTGGCAGAAAGAGTCCTCATTTCGAAATGTGTGCAAATATCCAACTAAGTGATTGACCCGATTCTAAACATGTCTACTAACAGGATTTAAGGATTTTTTCCAGAGAAAAACTACTCTAGCAATTATCAAAGGACACAGAAAGTCGGCGCTGTACGAATAGAATTTGTACGTAGGAATTTGAATACGCATTTTACCGGCTCAGAAATGGTATATAGGCTGGAAAAGGTAGTAAACGTATCTCGATTTTGCTAAAATTTCCTATTTGAGCCATTTTCACTCAGGAAAGAAAGATAATGAAAACTGTTAAAAATTAGGGAACTGTCACGCCTACTACACTAGGGGGCGGAGATAGTAAATGTTATCCGATTCCAATGAAATTCAGTTTGTAACTTGGATTAAGCTAAGAAGACCTAAGAGCTAAGAAGAAGAACTGCCACGGCCACCGGCTATCCGATCTTTATATTCTAATGTGGCAAGGACTAGTAACGAACCTCCAAAATAGCAAAAATATGGTGGAAGATTTATTTTTGCACAAAATTCCAGAAATTTAAAAAAAGGTGTGAATTGTCGACCAGCCACGGCCTCCCTCCCGGGAATAGGATATTATATATCTCGGTGTTTCAGTGCAAAAATATATCTTGCACCAAAGTTTTGCTATTTTGGAGGAACGTTACTAGTCCTTGCCACATTATAATCCAGAATTCGAAAGGCTGGTGGGCATGAAAATTCACCGATTTTTACCATCATTAAGATTAGGTTAATCTAAGTTACAAATCGAAAGTGGGCTTGGAAGCACGCTGAATTCAACCATCTTTCATATCTATTCATTCCTAGGCACGTTACAATTTTCAAAATCGGAGCACATTTCGGAAATGAGACTCAATAAGAGTCGCACTGAAGAATTACGCTAAAAAAGTCTGCAGTCAGGGCTTTTACCGGCGTCGTCACAGGGCACTGTGCTATAATAACTAGCACCAATGCTCCGTCGATGGCATACACCTAAAAGCTCCCCCTGCAGAAGTTGTCGGGATGAGGAAGAAAAGGAATTGATTCACCACTTTCTGTGTCGATTCCCAGCTCTTCGGACAAGATTCTCTAGCACTTCCAATAGTTCGTTTTCAATAGTTTCGGGGGATAAATGGTTTAACAGACTGTATACTGACAAGATGGAATAACCTCGGCTAGAAGGATGTGCCTTTTCCTGGCACTCATAGAGAGTATTTACCATGGGATAGTTTGCCTCCGATTGGAAGTACGAGTCGTATTCGTATGCGCCTAGAATCCAACCTAATACTCTTTCTTCTTTTTCTTGTTATTTGGCGCTGTAAACGCCTAAGCGATTTTTCTCGAGTTCAACAAAGCGCGCCTTTCACCTTGCAGAATAAATATCTGTACATCGATACGATCTATCTACAGTTTTCACAAAAATGAGATTCCTATACAAAAATTCACCTGTCATCGATGATGTTAAAGCTGGCCTTGTGTAACGCTTGTCAGAAGAATTAACAATTTAAAACCAAAATTAAAATTGCAACCAGTAATGACCTTTAAGCCTCAGATAGATTTTAACATCGGAAAGTCGTTTTTGTGTAAACTGTAGTTAAAATCAACATCATTTTGTAGTACTGTGATCTCAATTAGTTGACCGTAGCTGTATGAAGTACATGCATGTATGCAAGTTATTATAATTTGACTTACCTCTTTTTAGTTAGCAGCGTCAAACATAATGCTTTTTGAATTGAAAAGAACTGAGTCGTTGGTTTAAAGCTGTCTTTTTTATTTAAATTTATTGAGTTTTTGCTTTTGTATTTAGATTACCATCAACTTAGTTTTTAAAATTTTGATTGAAACAAAGCTTTATATTTAATCCTCTATTGTGGTACTTAAAGTTAGCTTGCTGGAATCAGATGTGTTTTGGCATCAAAAGTTGTTAATTTTTCATTAAATATTTTTGCATATTTTTAAAAAATATTTTTAGTATAGAAAGAGTGCTTTTATACAAAATGTACACTTCATTTGATGTTGTCTATTACATATGTATTTCCACACACACTTTAGCAAGCAGCACTATTTTGTTTGTTGTTACTGTGTAACGTGATGCCGGGTTAAAAAAAAAAAAAATTTGCACTGCTGGCGTTGATTTTATTAAAACTTTTATTTATTTGCACAACACTCACAGCTTTTTCCTCCATAAATAGTCAACTGCTCGCAACGCTTGGATAGTTTTTTTCGTTTTTATAAGTGCTATTACTCGTATTAGTGGCTTGTGAATAAATTTGTTCTTTTCTTTATTCCTTTCGCAGCTTAAACACGCCAGCACTCGTCGAATGATAAATTAGTAGATAAACAAATAGCGAAAACGATGCCATAAAAAACGCAAAACAAAAAAAAAATTTAAAATTAGAAACCTTTAACTTTCGAAAACAGCCAAGAGAAAACAGAAACCAACGCAACACAACCTCGAAACAGTACTGACATCTAACTGAGGATACAAATGAATCCGTACCAATCGGTGGGCCAAGTGGCTTAGCGATTTTTGTACGAGTATGTCCCTGATGACTTCGCCGCCACCGCCGCAGTTGCTCGGTGCTGCAGAGACCGACGATTGCAAATCGTGCCTAGCGAGTGTTCTTCTTTGGATACCTTGGTTCGCTGATTTTGTTTCTACTACAACCTGGCTGTGTGAGAGTGTGTATATGATTTCGTTTGGCTATCTCGTGGATGGATACAACATAGATTCACTACTGTTACTAGCGCTGTTAATTGGCTGATGGACTCCACCGACCGGCGACGCAGCCCATTGTTAGTACATATTTACAACTACGACTACAACTAGTTATTGTTGCTATCGTTGGGGATATGTATGTAGGTACTTATGTTTATTTAGACATTTCATATCGCAAATGAAGATATGCTCGCCCGAGGGAAATGGGAGAAAAGTGCCACTTTGCCGTTACTGTATTCGTATTGAAGTGTTGCTAATAATTTTTTGAGGAGCAAACTCAAGTTACGAGTAAGTTTAATAGACACCGGGATACTCTCACGGATACAAGTGAGCTAGTTATTGCTCAGACGTATGAATAACTGAATGAAGCAAAGCTGCAATGAGTTACTAGCACAACTAGTATATTAGACACTCGTCGTTGTTGGAGTTCTTGCATCACGTAACGAAGGGTACCTACACTTTATAGGAAATAGTTCACTTTACTTTTAGACACGAAATACCTTTTTTTGGTGCAAATATCACTTTGAGTACCGCTTTAGCGAACACATTAATTATTTCTGCATTTGTAAATTACTGCACTTTTATCTAATAAAATATACGCCACTTAAACTATTTAGTTATTTATTTTAATAATTTCAAAAATACTGTTCAGTCCTTTAAATGCATCTAATCTTGTATTGCGGATGCCTCGCCTTAATGCACGTTGGACTTTGGGACGGATGTGATTGGGGCTCGCGGGCACAGCGCACACGGATTGTGTAGCTGTGATTGCTTGCTTGGGGTTGCGATACGATTATGGCTGGATAAATGAATCGAAGTGAAATGTAACGAAATGCAGTTTGAGTGCTGCAATAATGTGCCGGCGACAACTGTCTACTAAGTCGACAGCGACGCTGTCGTTGCTGACGCAGCCGAACAGCATGCGAGCGTGGAGCGCAAGTGGGCGCATTACTACTCTGTGGGAGCTTTGACATTTCATTTCGCATATTTGATTTGCACACGCTTTAGTTGCTCATTGTTAATGTACGTCGAATGAGAGCAGCATTGAAATGTGTAGTAGCTTTGTCGTTGTTGTTTACAGTGCGTACAGTGGGTTTTTTGTAAAAACGAATACATTAAAAATACATTGCACGTTGATTGCATAAAACACTGATATACGATAGCCAAAGGCCGAATGAATCCGCTAGTTAGACAGTTGAACTCATCGAAATTGTACCCCGACAGACTTCAGTATGGCGGGTTAAGGAGGCGCGAGGTCGTGGATTCGAGTCTCACAGCCAGTTGAATTTTCATTTATTTTTTATTTTTTTATTTCTTCAGTTATACTATTTCTTATATTGTTTTAATGCAATAATTAATATTTTTGTAGACTTTTTAATAAATTAACCTCCAATCATTTAATTAAACTAATAATAAAATAAATAATATGAAATAAAATTAAACAAAAGAAAATAGAATAAAATAAAATAAAGTAAGACCAAATATATAAATCAAATAAAATTAAAAAAAAATATAAAAATTTTTTGACCATCGCTCAAATCGAGAATCGAACCTGGCTCTTACGGAAAAGTAGTATGTAGCTCCCAACACTCGGATGCGGCAGACGGCGAATTGGCTTGCTTTCTTTGCTTACTTGCTCAATAAACAAAAGCTAATTCGTATTAACGAGTCAAACCGCATCAACGCTGTAAGACCATATTTTTGTCACTGGACGAAAAAATTTAATAGCCGGTTTTGAAACATTAAATGAGTTCTTCAGAGATCGTAGTGAAGGGTAGTCGGCGAGATTTAGCCCTGTGCAGTAGATTCTTCTCAACACTCCTAAGCCAATCTCTCTCAATTTTTTAAAGACGATGTCCCCAGCCGTACATTTTTAATCGCCAGCTTCATACTTTTGAAATGAGGGACCTTTATGAAAGGTTGCCAACTTTCAAGAAAATTGCTTTCGTGAAAATGAAAGTAAATATCATGAAATATTTTTAGGAAATTTAATAAGTTTGAATTCTCTTTGTAAAAGTTAAATGCTTTTTTAACCGACTTCCAAAAAAGGAGGAGGGTATCAGTTCGTCGGAATATTTTTTATTTTTTTATTTATTTTTTTTTAATGCATGTTACCGCATAACTTTGGACCACGTCAACCGATTTCGATCGATTCGATTTCGATTTTTGCATCGGAAAGGTAGTGTCTCAGAGGTGGTCCCATACTAATCTGGTTGAGATCCGATCAGTGGATCATGAGATATATATATATATATATATATATTTTTTTTATATGGGAGTTGAAGTCGGTTTTTTTTTGCTAAAAATTACTTGTTTTAATAATATTAAAAATTATGAAATTTCCAAGAACAATTTTATGATATTTGGCAATAATGATCGACTTTAACCTTAAATTACTTTTGGATGAGTAAATTTATGGTAAAATTATTAGCGATTTTTTTACTGCCTTCAATTTCCTTCTAAAATATACATAAGTACATATATGCATATATAAATCGCTCAGTCTTGTTTTTTTTTTTATTGAATAGCGTCTTAAAAAGACCCACTGGGCATAAGATTTCTTGCTATTTTAGCTGAGTAAAGAAATTGCATGCCATTTATACACACACAAACAAGTATGTATGTATGTATTTACCTACACACTATGTATACTTATATGTACATACATACAAATGTACTCTCTCACCTGTGCTGCTACACATGGCATTCGTTACTCTCAACTCATAGACCCAACAATCGCCCCATCATTCATACATTTTTATTGTAAAGAAAATAAGAAGCGACGAGAAGCTTCGCATTGCTACGAATCGTAATAAAAGATATTGTTTTTCTCTTCTTATAGTACTCACTCTACATAGCTCTAGCTCCTCAAAGGCAAATGATAAGAGCCAGTGAAGAGACCAAACAAACAACTTGACTTTTATTCATGTATACACATGTATTTCTATATCTACCCTACCGTTCTACAAACTTTTATAAGAATTTTTTAAAGATTTCGTAACCACATCGTTGTGCTCTGTTGCTTCGCATTCGCTGCTGATTTCTTGCCGATCGCCTGCGAGCGCCACCAGCGCGCGATAAGTCAAAAGCAGCAAAGTGCAGCAGCATGCAATTGTCTCTGCAAAGCCAGCCAGCAGCGCGACAAAACACTCCTCACCTGCACTGCAAACCGCATAAGACACCAACCTCACCAACCTCACCATCACCGCCAACAGCTACCCCCACTACCCTTTCTGCACTCGATCGCTACATTTGCTCCACTTGCGCTCCGCTTGCAGCGCTACTGCAACGAAACGAAACCAAAACTGCTGTCTCAGCGATCGCCTTGCAGCTGAGCTTTGCGCGACACGAACAAGGCTAAAGCAATGCCGTCGTCGTCGTCTTCAGCAGCTATCGCGGCAGAGGTAGCGGGGGAAGTTGGATTGGGGTGCATTGCGAAATCTGGCAATAATGCAATTGCACTGCTGTGATCGCTGTTCCTCGTTGCTGTTGTTGTCGTTATTGTTGCTGGTGGTGGTGGTGGTGCTGTGGCTGCAATTGCATGGGCTGCCGTCGTCATTGTCCTCGTTTGGCTTTAGCTATCTCAGCGTTTTTTTGCCGCTGGAAAAATTGTCGGTTCAAAGTGCCGAAATAGCTGGTAAGTACTGCGGCAGTTGCACAAATATTGTCTGTGAGTGTGTGTGCCGGGTTGAAAATTGCAGCAACAGCGCCAACGAGTAGATTTCTCCTGTTTGCAATTCTTTTGAATTGAGGTAATTGAGGCGCATAGCTTTTATGTTTTTTTGTGTGGAGTCTCGGAGCCGCATGGGGTATTTCGTAAGGGCAGTACAGTCCGTGATGTGGCGGTTTTGGTTTCTTTTCTTATTTTGAAATGAGCTAATCAAGCTGCTGGCGTTTCTAGGAGCAGCTTTTTCATGACAGAAAGACACTCAAATATTTGTCATTGCCTGCTGAGAAACAATTCCAAGCTACGGCAAGGACAGGCTGGATTGGGTTATGTTAAGGTGGTTACCCCAAATAGAGGGTGATGCCACTACGAGCGGTAACTTCGAAACTATAACGAAAAGCGCTGAGTGTCTCTAGGACGAAAGTTCTTTGGCGGCAAATGTCAGTCGCACAGAGGTTCTCAGAGCTGTAAAAAGTACGACCCAAGGTGTTTAGAATGCAATTTAGCAAAAGCTAGGTAGCTTAAGAGGAAATATTGCTGACCTCCAAGCAGGTGCGTTGGTGTGGCTCCGGTGTGATATATAG